CACCTACAGTGTAAGCGCGCCACAGTTTTGCCTCTGCGAGACTCCACTTGCACCCCCAATTACTATTGCATTAAGGAAGACATAACACAAGTCTTTCTTTTGATTTGCTCTTTAATAAAATAGGCCTACCACAACAAGCTAACAGTCTGTGAAACGTAAAGACACTAATTAATGAAACCAGTTCAAGACGCATTATTCTTATTCTTATCATTCTTTATGAGCGCAGTAACGGTAAGGTATCTCACTACTTATTTATTTAGTTTTCCATAACTTAGTAACAGAGATGGTCAAACTAAAGTGGTAGAGACATAGCAGAATTCCTACAATGAAGCGGGACATTGAACTGTTCACCCGTGAGAGGGCAATCAAGAAAAGAGAGCGAGCGGCCCCGTTGAGGAAGTTTACAGATGAAAAGACTCCATGTTTATGCAGCACTGCACGTGGAGATGTGGACGCGCAAATCGCGCAGATTACGTAGGCCAAATGTATACAAACCTGCGGCGGAAACCCCTCTTGTCTGTCAGTGAGTGTGATTATTTTATAAAAGTAACGAAGTAACGCGTGTCGGGGCAATTTTAGTAACTGTAGTGTGATTACTGAATTATAAAATTATAAAACGTGTTACACTACTCCGTTACCGACAAAAGTAATATTATTACAGTAACGCGTTACACCCAACTCTGATGACAGTCATATTTACAAAAGGATGTCGATCCTCTTCCTGTTTTTTTTTCAATACATTGGGTTCTAATATGACAACAGCACTTTTGTCATACTCCTGCACAATCCTTGTAAACATTTGAAATGGATGCAAGAAACAATATCTGATCTTTGAAAAATATTTGTAGGTGTAGTCTTCACTAAGATGTAAGATGTTGTGGGTGTCATTTGGAAATTTATAAAAGTATAATTGTTCTGCTTCCTGGCAATGTTACCCGCTGTGATTGGAGGCTATACAAACAGACAAATGTACAAATAAAGATACAAACCAAACAACTGTGTCACGATGCAACTGTCAACATCGTTTATCTATAGAAGTTGTTCTGACCCGGGGCAGACTGGACCTCTTCCTGGAATGGGGTTGGTGCTCCATCCTATTTTTACCCAATACATAAGTGCAGTTGATCTAATGACAGTGTCATTAGCACACAAAGGTATTTATTGATTTCATGTTCACAAATTCAAACCTACATGGTATAATTACATTTGTAATTAGTCTTACCCGATCAGACGCTGGTTGTGGGTGCCTGAGAGGTCTGATAAAGGTAAACAAAAAATATATTCAAACTACTGTACTGTTAAAAAACGTTCTGCTTCTTGTGGCACAAAATAATATGTTGACAATGTTTTATTTTACCCTGGCAAACTGTTGTCCTCGTGGAGTGCTCACTTTTGGAACATTTGGAATGTCCCACACCTGCATACACACAAATGACCGACTGAAATAAAATAAATTCACTTTAATTAAGAATAAATGCCACAATAAATCCAAACTGACCAAGGTACATTATATTGTTGACCGTCCTTTAACTCTCACATTAGGATTTACATTGGGGCAACCAACTCCTCTCTGCACCTATAATATATATATATGATGTCAAGAGTTACATTTAGGTGCACAGTGCTGTCTCTTGACTTGCAAACTCTTTTATCAAACAAGCTAACGCTAAAGGTAAATATGACGCTCTTTGTATCAAAACAAAACGTACCTTATATCGACTTTTTCGACTTCGGTCAACTTTGTCCGGCTTCAATTTGCAGCACTCTTGTTCGTTCTCTCTATGTCTGGTCATACATCAATTTGTTCCACGTAGCGCGCCCCCTAGAGGCCTGGAGCACTTCCGGAATCTTTTTTTTTTGTATGTGTTTTGGGATTTGTATGTGCTTTGGACTTTGCACATCGTGCAGCGTTTTTTTGTTGAGTTTGTTTTCGGGGTTTGTGTGTTGTATTTAGTTTGCATCATTTCTGTAAATGCAGCATTTTTCTGTTGTATTTGTTTTCAGGGTTTGTTTGTTTTTCATTTCATTATTTGGAGGTGTTTCCTGCTAATGTATGCGTTTTGGGCCGTTGTTCCGCGTTTGCACCTGCCGGCCACCGTAGATTTCTGTCCCCCAGAGTCAGAACTAAACCTGGAGAAGCAGCGTTCAGTTATTATGCTCCAAATATCTGGAACAAACTCCCAGAAACCTGCAGGTCCGCTGCAACTCTTACTACTTTTAAATCCAGGCTGAAGAATTTTCTTATTGTCACTGCTTTTAATTGAAACTGAGCCGTTGCCGTTGTTCATCAGTAAAGTGGAACTTCTGTGTGAACTATTCATATCTTAAACTGCACTCTAACTTTTAATTCATGTAATTTTTATTCATGTGCTTTTTATTCATGTACTTTTTATTCATGTATTTTTTATTTTATTTTATTTTATTTTTAATGACTGTTTTTAAATGCCTTTGTCTGAATGTCTTTCATTTTT